TTTTTTAGCCTAAGTTTGAAAATAGGTGGAAGAGCCAGATGTTTGTGGAAGTAAGCCAGTATGCACTCGGGAGATTTAAATTCCCTTAGGTAAAATGCGCTCCCTGGTAAAGAAAATGATAGTTAAAAAGGAGTTGATTAGCCTTCTGGTAAGAGCTGCAAGCAAAGCCAGCCAGCCTGGGGACGTGGTGCTTTTGTGTCCCCCATGGCGTGTTCCTTGCTGCAGGTGTAGGCATAAGGGTTTGCTTTTTTAATTCTAGGACACTCCCGTGTTCCTGATAAAGGAGTTTGGAACAGGGCGGGGTGCAGTGAGACGGATGAGGTAAAGGGACAAATTAGACCAAGGGCTCAGACCGGAACTTTCAAGCTGAGAACAGATGAGCAGATGGTAGCCTAGCAAAGTGGGCCAGGCATTCCAAGGAAGAGGGAACATCCCGAAACGGGAAAGGAGACCTTGGAACTGAAAGACCAGTCTAAAATCACATCTAAAGAGAAGAGCTGGGTTTCTGCCAGAGGCAGTGGGATGGATAGATATGGTCCCTGGGGTGGTGTCTGAGGCGGCCATAAAGGCCCACATCCCAGCGTGAGTGGCAGGTTAGGTCTCAGGCCTGATGGGGGTTAAATCCTGGTTCTGCCACTTGCTGTCCTGCATGATGTTAAGAAATTGCCTCACTTCCGTGCACCAGTTATCCTCCTGGGAGGACTCCAAACCCTCGCTATGGGAGTCACCAAGGAAAACAGGCAAACAGATGGGAAAGAGCTTAGATCAAGATCCATGGCCCCAGCTGTCTCCCTGCTCAGTGGCAGGGCTGTTCACCTACACACATCCATCCCCTGCTCCTCTCAGGACAGGCACAGCATTGTCCTGGTGGCAGGGCAGTTGGCCAGGTGCCATGTGATGCCACATCTGAAGCAGAGACAAAAGGCTCACTGAGCCTGGAACAAAGATCCTCCCACATGTGACATGCCCAGCACAGGCTGGGCTCCTAGGCCCTTGGCAAGGAAGTGTTCTAAAACTGCCTCCCAACACTGCCTCGATTTCCACAGGCTATGGCAACTAACCATATCAATACTTACTTCAGTGGTTTATTGTAAGGGTTCAATGAGCTAATTTTCAAAGGACTTGGCACAGCAAATTTGGGAGATGGCGATGGAGTCATGTCAGAATGGGCCACAAGGTGGCGACATACTACACCAAATGAGCAGTCTACCGGGACAGTCTGCGAGTGGGGATAAAATCCACTTCCAAGTAACTAAGTGCCTGAGACCACTAAAAAGTTTTAAAAAGTTTTTTCTATAAGACTTTTAAGGATGAAGGTCGTTTTTTAATCTGGCTACGAGAGATGAGTTTTGTTTCCCCTGGGAGGGGTCCACGGGTGCTCAATAACTGTCCACAAACTCCAATGGGGGACCTTCAGTCTTCCCCATTCTTTCAATGCTCAATTCCCAGGAGGAGGGGGGGGTGTACCACTGGGGCTTCCTTTGTCCCAGCACATTGTCCAGAGACTAGCCCCAGCTCCTAGGAGACAAGCCCCGTGTCTAGAGAAGGCATCCTTTCATGCCGAGGTTCTCAGCCCTGGCTTGTGCCTTGGAGTCATTTGTGGCACTTTTTAAAATTTTTGCTATGGCAGCCAAGGCTGATTGCAGAGATTCTGACGAAGCTGGTTTAAGGCACAGGTTTATTTTAAAGCCCTCAGGTGGCCGGGCTGACCACCGCCTTGCTGAGTCAGCTTGTCAGCCTGGGTGAGCTTGTTTTGGCTGTGCCAGGTGGGAGGCGAGGTGTGGGCCACAGTTGCTGGTTTGGAAAGGACGAGAATGCTGTTCCCACCCTAACTCCCAAGGAGTCCCTGGGAGCTCTGTTCTGTTCAGCCTCTGGCTCACCTGTCAAGGTCAGCAGGCCTCTGGTGAAGCAGCTAGAATGCTCACTCCCCGTCTAGCTGGATGCAGACAAGCCCACCAGGAGGAGAGGCCCAGACCACAAGGCGAGACTCCCTCCCCCGGCCCCTGGCTCTCTGACAGAGCGTGGCGCCCCCGTGGGCCATCCACGTGCGTTCGTGGGTGTTTCCAGGACTCGCGTCCCCGCGAGTTTGCAGGCATTTCCAGGACTCCTGGAGCCAGGAACCTGGAACTCTCTCCCAAGTCTCCTGTGTCACTGTTGTCTGCTCCCGTCGCTACCACCCCTCAGACTGGCTTCAGGCGCTGTGTCTCCAAGCCAAGTCTGATCTTATCACAACCCCTTAACTCCTCCACTCCCATCTCCCCAGCCCCATACGGCCCTCGACCTGTCTCTGCCTGTCCCACGTTATGGGTCACCCCACGCTGTTAGCAGCTGCAGAACCGGCCCTATCACGCCCCAAGCCTCTGCAGGCGCTCTGAGGACTCAAGGAAAGTTCCCGCGAGGTTTGATCTGATCTGCGGCTGCCGGGACCGGCTTCCTGTCCGCTGACCCTGCTCTGATATTGCTTTTCCAAAGCGTCCCTAACGTGGCCAGGTTTACTTCCTTATGTGTGAACTGTTGCCATCTGCCCGCTGAAGGGCCATGAACCCCAGGCAGGGGGTTCCGTCTGTTTGTTCTCTGATAGATCAGTGCCTGGCACGTAGTAGGTGCTCGGTAAATACGTGTTGCTGACGGCCTGGCGTCCCCTCCCCTCTGGATGGCTCCAGGAGCCCTTCCTCCAGGTGGCCCGCCCTGTTCCGCCCGCTTGCCACGCTGCTTTCCTCAGATCCTAGTGCTCCCTGGGGGACTTATACTGAACGTCGCTCCCTTCTGTCCCCAGTATGCTTATTGCCCTCTAAAAACCCCAGGAACGGCCGCCCTCGCTTCTCTCATACTACGACTGCCAGCTGCACTCACTGACACTTTATATCCTTGATTTGATAATAAGTAATTAATGAGAAGACCGGGGACTTAGAGACTGCTATTAAGAAAGAGATTTAGGAGCGTCCTGGGGGCTGTTTTCACTTCTCCTTCCGCTTCTTTCGCCAGTGGGGCAAGGACAGATCCCAGAACGCAAAGGGGTGGGCG